GGCGGTAAGAAGGAGAAGAGGGAAAGGGGGAAAGGAGAGGAAGTGGAAAAGGAGAGGAGGGAGAGAAGGGAGTTAGCGATGGCTGATGATGAGCGAAGGTGTCGAAGAGAACAGAGTAAGGTATGCTCCCCACGAGAAGATTTGGCAGCACCTGGTAATACGATGAGTCAATGGGCAGTATAGCAGCAGGTCGAGCAGGTGCATGGGGAGGAGGAGAACGGGGATAGCAGGAGGGAGGGAGGAGGGAGGGAGGAGGGAGCTTCGGTCTCATGTGAGGACAGCATCGCCATGCGCTGGCGGATGTCTTTCTGGACAACAACGAGTACAACGGGGGGACGACGGGGCTAGATTCCTACTGGGCTGATGTCCCTATCATCAGCGCTCCACAGGAGAAATTCTCTGCAAGGTGCATAGTTTCACCTCCACTGCTCCTGCTCCTTCTCCTCCTTCTCCCGCTTACCCCGTCTTACACCACCACCTTCTCATCTTCCTCCCATTTCTCGTTCCTCTGTTCGATCTCCTTCTCCCTCTCCTCCATTCTCAACGAACTTTCTAGTATCGCTCATGGTTCTTTCTTCAACCTGCTGCTGCTCTTAGCTTCTATAGGATCACACTCCCTCCAACTCCCCTCCTCCTCCTCCTACCCTCCTCCTACCTCCCTCCAACTACCGTCCTCCTACCTCCCTCCTCCTACCCCAGCCTACCCCTACCCCAGTTTCCGTTGATTGAGCACTGGAGGGGGTGCAGGTATGGGGCCAGCTTCAACCGAGGTGCGAGGATGGAAATCTTGACAGCGCGAAATGGGGAGGATTATGTGAAGATAGCAAGTAAGCTTGTCGAGAAACCAGGTGTCGCTGTTTCCTCCTGCCCGACCTAGTTGTGCTGTGCAGTGACATTCCATCAGAGCTCATCCGGGGGATAAGAGATCGTCTGGTGAAGGACAAGAACTCAACAGATGGCGGCGAGTCAGAAAGTCATATCATGGTCAACGACTGATGCGTGTCAACAGGGATGTTTGATATGGACAGCTTCATGCTGCGATATGAGCAGGTTCTCAAGATGCAGTGGGACTTGTTCTGGTCGAATGTCGGAGAAGATGGTCAAGAACAAGGGCCGAGGAACATGCATGTTGTGTTCAGAGGTGCGGGAGAAGCTCGGAGCTCATTGCGAACGGTTGGATGATGCAGATGTTTCGTGATCTGCTTCGATGGCGATTCGTAATCCTCCTGGTGAAAGTCGCAGTCAAGTCAAACCTGCCCGCTGTAGGACATGGACAGGCAGGCACAGTCGAGGGCGTGTCCTGTAAGGCAATGTTAACTTCAATCTTTGCTCCAACACCATTCACACACACACGACGATCGGCGCGAACAAGCCGATGTTGTAAAGTATTTATTGAACTTTGAGAAGAAATCACTACAAAAACAATGGTTGATTTCAATCGTGTGTCCTTGCTAGAACGACATCATTTGAGGCATTGTAAGATGACTGCGATGATGTTCCGTTCTCCAGCTTTCTTCATAAAGATGTCGTTGTGGGATTTTGCGAAAGATCCCTTGCACATTGGTCTGCAGTAGCCATGCGGGAAAGAATTCGAGAACGGGTCTTTCATGGACTTGTGGAAGTTGTTCACATTTTGGAACTCTTTGACAATCTTCTCCTTTTTCTTGTGTGCAATCAGCAACTTGTCCAGCGGAGTTCGTTGAAGGGTGTAAGGGGAGGTTGAAGCGACGGTAGCTATCAGGGCATACCGCCGCACGTCCTCGTCATGGTAGATCGATAGGTCGCCAGAAACATTTCCGTCGCACCAGAACAATGCCGGAGAAAGTCCAGGTACAGTGTCCCCTCCTTTGTTCATCGTGCAATTGACGTGCGAGTCAACTCCCGCGTTAGACTTCACGGACCAGCGATTGATACCCTCCAACCCCTTCCCTTCCTCTCTCTCTTCTTCAGAGACCTTTTGTTTTCTTTCTCCTCTACCTTGGATCCTTCCTCCTTCCTCCTGCATCCTCCTCCTCCCTCCCTCCGTCCCTCCCTCCGTCCCTCCCTCTTCACCTCCTACTCCACGCTTCCCATGCTGTGTTTTGACCACTGATTTTTTAGCCAACAGGGGTTCCTGCTGAGTACCCCTCCGATCCCCTGCATACCACCCCACTCAGCCTACATACCGTAATATGAGAGTAAAGTCACTGAAGTTCACAAAAGTTCGGACTAGCCGGGCCCGAGAGTGAGGGCCGGGCCACTCTGACTCACAGCACCGCCGGGCGGCCCGCCGGGGCTTGAAGGGTGCAAGTCAGAATTGAAGTCACCCTTTCAAATTAGGGTTTCATTTTTCAAATTTTATTGATCTCAGGGCAGCCTTTGAAAATTAGGGAGGATAAAATATTTAAAGGTTCGACATGGAGCCGAATGTTCGATGTAGCCTCCATCATCGGACGTAGGTCAGCACCATTACCCCTGACCCCCTCTATATATATGAAAAGGACCGGTATTTTCTGGGTTGTCGGAGCGAAGCCCCAATCCAGATGGGCTGGGAATGATAAAAAAAGACGAGTTTTCGGGGTCGGCGGGGTGGGTAGGCTACACCTGCCGGGTCTATAGAAGACAGGGTATTTTAGACTTGTTTAGAGGAGGTAGGGGTAGCTCCATTGGGGGTCAGTCGAGGCAACGTATCAGAGAGCAATGATCCCTAATTAAGTTTAGTTGACTTCCGTCAGCAGCTGTGAACACAGAGGGTGGGGTGGATCTCGATACACCCCTCTAATTCCTAGATCAAATCATACAATGGAAGGGGTTGTATGGACATGTAGTAGGTGATTGTCAAGTTTCCAGGGAGGGTGTGAGCAATCCTGTGGAAGTGTTGAAAACTCGTTCGACCTTGCTGTACCGGAAACGAAAGACGCTCCAGGCAGGGGTCATTTCCCACGAGAAAAGTGGGTACTCTTTGGGTTGCAAATGAGAGTTGGTTTCTCCTTCAACCACGGGGGTGGTTTCGTGGCCATACGGAGGGTGGGGGTTATCTCATTTTCAAGGAACGGTATTACCCACCCTTCCTTTTCACTCAGGATTGAATCATCACCCCCTTATTTATATCTGATCTTGTATATTTAGGGTGGGTATTTTGAGTACCCCTACCCCACTATGAAGGAGCTCAATTAGTACCCCACCCAGCGGGTCACAACGTCCCCTCCCCTAGCGCCCCTTCCCTAATCCGCCGTCGCCCCTGCAGCCGCCATGCAGTCCGCGGGTCGCGCGGCAAGAATCTCGTCCTCATTGAGGGCGAGGTCCCTCATCCTGACTCACCAGAGTGGGAGGAGGCTGCTCTCCTCGGAAGCAGCGAAGCCTGCTTCTCCTGGAATTCCGTACTCGCAGCTCTCTCTCGGTGTGCCCAAGGAATCTTTCACGGGCGAGAAGCGTGTTGCTACCACCCCCAAGGTTGTAGAGAAGCTTGTAAAGCAGGGATTTTCCGTTTCGATCGAGAAGGGAGCTGGAGAACCTGCGAACATGGCAGATGAAGCCTTCTCGAGTGTTGGTGCTAAAATCGAGTCGGCCGATAGCGTGTTCAAGAAAGATATTGTGTTCAAGGTTGATCTTAATTGCATGTTGTTGTCTCCTTGTAAAAACATGGCAGGTTCGTGCTCCCAGCGCCGATGAGGTTGCGCTTTTCAAGGATGGGTCCACCTTGTTCTCGTACATCTACCCAGGACAAAACAAGAGCCTCGTTGATCTGATGGCGAAGAAGAAGATGAATGTTTTTGCGATGGAGTGCGTTCCACGCATCAGCAGAGCGCAGGTCTATGATGCATTGAGCTCTATGGCGAACATTTCAGGTTACAAGGCTGTTGTTGAGGCCGCTTCATACTTCGGACGATTTTTCACGGGCCAGATTACTGCTGCCGGAAAGACAGAGCCTGCTAAGATTCTTGTGATTGGTGGAGGAGTTGCTGGTCTTGCAGCCATTGGAACAGCTAAGAATATGGGTGCGATTGTCCGTTGTTTCGATACTCGTCCAGCTGTCAAGGAACAGGCGAAGTCTATGGGAGCGGAATTCTTGGAGATGAAGGGATTCGAGCTTGAAGAAGGTGTTGGTGGATATGCCAAGGAAATGACGAAGGAATTTATTGCTGCTGAGATGGAATTGTTTGCAAAGCAGGTGAAGTATATAATTTTAACATTCTGTCTGGGATTCTTACGTGTCTTACGTTTCCTCAGGCCAAGGAGGTTGATATTATCATTACCACTGCTTTGATCCCTGGGAAACCCGCACCAAAGCTCATCAGCAAGGTTTTCTTTGGTAAATTAGGTTCCAAGCGACTGATTCGCATATGCAGGCGATGATCGATTCGATGAAGCCTGGCTCTGTCGTTGTTGATCTTGCGGCTGAGGCTGGAGGTTGTTTCATCGGGTTGTCGCCATCGACCTAAAGTTGCCGGCAGGAAACATTGAGACCACGAAACCTGGCGAAGTCTATGTTTATGGCCAGGGGGTGACACATATTGGATTGACCGATTTCCCATCACAGGTATCCTGGATTTGACTTCTTTCGTGTAGAGTGACGATTTTGCAGCTTGCGAACCAGTCGAGCCAGCTCTACAGTAACAACATTTCTGCACTCATGCTGGTGCGTAGTGAAATGATCTCCTGGCGATGTGAATTTCTCGGTGTAATTGGTTCTATTTGCCTCTGCAGTCCTTTGGAAGAGACGGAAATAGGGCCGAAAAGGGAATGTTTTACATGGACATGGAAGATGTTGTTTGCCGTGGATCTTGCATTCTCAAGCAGGCATGTCTCGATGCTTGAAAAGGAATCCTGCTGAAGGTTTGCTACAGGGTGAATTGATGTGGCCAGCACCACCCCCTCCAACTCCTCCTCCTACCCCTCAGAAGAAGACAGAAGCGAAGGTCAAAGAGGTGGTTGTTGATCATCAGAAGGTACAGACGTAAATGATTGTCAGTACTTGCTTAATTTTGTTTGTTCAAGGTCGAATTCCAGAGGTCTCTTTATTTAACAGCAGGCGGAGCATCGATCTATGGCGTTGGTCTTCTCACTCCTGAACCTTCATCTCATGCTATGTTCACCACCTTCTCGTTGGCTTGCATTGGTGGATACTACACTGTCTGGGGGGTTGTTCCTGCTCTCCACTCCCCTCTGATGTCAGTTACCAATGCCATTTCCGGCATGACTGCGGCAGGCGGTATGGTCATCATGGGAGGAGGACTTTTTCCAACTACTTCTTCTCAGATGTTGGGTGCAGTAGCTGTTGCAATGTCATCCGTAAACATTGTTGGTGGCTTCATCATCACTCAGAGAATGCTTGATATGTTCCGTCGCCCGACCGACCCTGAGGAACACAATCATTACTATGCTATGCCAATGGCTGCTCTCGTCGGTGGCTATCTGCTCACTACCAAATACCTTGGTGTAGATACTACTGGTCTTGCCTATGTTGCTTCCGGTGTTCTTTGCATTGGTGGCATTTCTTGCATGAGCACGATGGAATCATCCAGAATTGGCAACCCCGTTGCCATTCTTGGTGTTTCTACGGGTATCGCGGCTACGTTGGGTGCAATTTCACAGACTCCTCAAGTTTACGGTCAGATTGCCATGGCTTGCGCGGCTGGTGGCTCCGTTGGTTTCATGATCGCACGAGGCCTTGCGCCAACCCAGCTTCCAGAGACTGTTGCTCTGTTTCACTCTTTGGTTGGTGCTGCTGCTGTGACTACCTCCATTGGTTCGTACATCATGGATCCTCACCATGCAGTCACCGCCTGGATTGGAACGGCAATTGGTGCCGTTACTGTTACCGGTTCTTTGGTTGCTTACGCTAAGCTTTCTGAGAAGATGGGCTCTGCTCCATGGTGTCTCCCAGGGAAGGACATGATCAATATTGGAATGCTTGCGGGCAACATTGGATGCTTGGGTTACATGATGATGGACCCGATGAATGTCACTAATGGAGTTTTGGCTTTGAGTGGGACAACCGCACTTGCTGGAGCTCTTGGATTTCACATCACTGCTTCCATTGGTGGAGCTGATATGCCTGTTTGCATCACAGTTTTGAACTCTTATTCTGGATGGGCCCTCTGTGCTGAAGGATTTATGCTCAACAATAGTCTCTTGACCACTGTTGGTTCTTTGATTGGAGCTTCTGGAGCGATCCTGAGCTACATTATGTGCGTAGCCATGAACAGATCCCTTACAAACGTTCTCTTTGGAGGCTATGGAACTTCAAGCACGGGAGGAGGAGAGAAGATGAAGATTACCGGAACTGCCACTACTACCGACGTTGACGCTGTTGCTGATATGCTTGTCAACGCGAAGAATGTTATCATCGTTCCTGGTTACGGTGTTGCTGTCGCAAAGGCCCAATACGACATTGCAGAGATGGTTTCAAGTCTTCGCGAGAAGGTGGATGTTTGCTTTGAATCCTTCTTAACTGACTGCCTTGTGTTGCAAAGGGCGTCAATGTCAGATTTGGTATTCACCCTGTTGCTGGCCGTATGCCGGGTCAGTTGAACGTGCTTCTTGCTGAAGCAGGAGTTCCATACGATAGTAAGTGTACAAAAGCGTTCTTCTTCCAGTTTCTGACAAACTTTGAAAATCTCAGTTGTTCTCGAAATGGATGAAATCAACGAAGACTTTGAAGACTGCGACGTTGCTTTGTGCATTGGAGCCAACGATACCATCAACAGTGCTGCTCTTGATGATCCCAATTCTGTCATTGCTGGTATGCCCGTTCTGCACGTATGGAAGGCAAAACAGGTGAGCGAAATCATCTCGTGGGAATAGCCTGCATCGAGGGTTGTAACAGATTTTCTCTAGGTCATCGTCATGAAGAGGTCGTTAGCTGCCGGATATGCGGATGTGGACAACCCTGTCTTCTTCAATGTGAATTCTTTATTGCCTCAGCTATTGAATGCTGATATGTTTGCTTATCAGGAAAATACCATGATGCTTCTCGGAAACGCGAAGCAAACCTGCGATGGTTTGAAGACCAAGATCAAGTCTGTTTAATTTCATCTGCTTTTAAGTATTTACGTTGCAAGAAAGTGGTAAAACGAATGCTTATGAATGATGAATACTGCTCTCGTCATTACAACCATTTGAAGTTGAACCCTTTGCCAGATTTGTTTGCCCACTCCTCTAGTGTTGACGAGCTTTTCTCATTCCACAATTTTCTCCGTTTCACGTTGCTCCCGGCCTCGCCCGCAGCAAGTCCTGCCTGTGCGGGCGGAACAGGTTCAGAAGCAAGACTTCTCCTGCCCCTGTCCTTATCCATCTCAGAAGGAGCGACAATCTGAAAGTTGGGAGCGTTCAAACAGAACCTCTCCTGGGGCAGGGGAATGCCTGGCCTGTTTGGGATGTTGGGCAAAGGACATGCGTTCTTGGCTTTCGCCCATTCCTCCAGTTTCTCTGCATCCGGTCGCTGAGCATATTCCTGCGCGTGCTGAACTTTCATCTCCAGCGCAAGCTTGAGGTCGTCAAGCTCCACTGTTGGATTTGTCTTCTCTTCGTCGGGCTTCGTCCCTAATCGCTGATGTGCAGCCCACACAGCCTCCTTGAAAACATCCACGTTGAATCTGTGTAAAATCTCTCTGAGCATCTGTACAACCCTGTTGTCTGCCACATGAACACGTCAGATTCGCACATTTTGCAAATAGGGATGATTGTACCGAAATCATTCACTCCCATCGAGTTCAAGATGTTAACGATGCGTTCGCTGTCATCAATCTTTGGCCGACATGCACGAGACGGGTTGGGTCGAGAGCCGCCATTCTGCATCGCCGCCTCTGTCGAAGGCGCTGTGTGGTCGATTCCGCTCATACTGCTCTTCCCCTGCCAGCTTTGGCCAGCAAATCTGAATTTCTCTAGATTGCAAACGGGTTGATTGAGATCAAATCATTGCAAGATCGGATAATAACAGTCAATCAGAGCGTCCAATCTCAGTTACGAAGCAAAGATCCCCCGAGCTTTCGTGGCGCAGCCAAAAATCCGGGACAGGCGCTTTAAGAATCCCCCCACGAACGCGGCGGAAGATCGTTATGGCAGCCGGCCTCTCTGTGCAACGATGACAGGAGGAGAGTGAGAGGTATCAACAGGGAAGGAAGAGAGCTTGTACGTTCCTGCTACGTTCTCCCTGCCCTCTCCCCCCAGCGGCCCCTCCCCCTCTCTGCTCCATGGCGGCGGAGAGGACGGTAGTTGACTAAACTTTTGGAAGAGAAACCCGCCTCAGGGTAATTGGGACCCAAAAGAGAATTGGGACCCATGGCAGGGTCGGCGCTAGGGGAGGGGATGCGAGGGCTTAGGAGAGCGGCAGAGGCGATGCAGAGGGCGCTGAACTCAGGCAGCATGCAAGCGAAGGGTTTGAGGCTGCATGGTACGCGTGCTGGGCTTGTGGGGCTGCGCCATGCGGAGAATGCGGACTTCGGAACGTCCACGAATCAGGGTATGCAGAAGAAGGAACGGAGGAGAGGGTGGGAAGCGTTTCCAGGAGGAAGATCGATGATGCTCTCTGATGTTTTCAGGACATACTCTTGTAGATCGTTCAGAGCTAATCACTTCGGGGCTTCTGCTCTGCTCTGTAGCAGGTCGTTACATGTCAGCAGCGGTCAGGAACACGTCAGCAGTGAAACTGCCTGCCGCCATGGCGAGGATCAGCTTGTGGCGGTTCCATCGGGCAGCGAAGACGCAGGGCTGACAGCTGCATTCGGAATCTCACACTGGTTTGGAGAGACATCGTCGTATCCCAACATCGTCTTCGCACAGGAGGTGAGGTGCCTTGCGATGGTCCAACGCATGAGTTGAGGTGCAGGTCCTAGAACATGTTCACAGCTCCTTGGATATTCCATGGTCGCTCACTATCCTCGGAGTCACGTGCTGTGTGAGGTTGGCCTTCTTTCCTCTCGTCGTCTACCAGCATAGGATCACTGGAAACTTGCAAGCCGCCGCTCCCAAGCTGCAGGTGAGGGACGAGGGGAGAGAAGGCGCTTGGGGATTGTGATCAGTGGAGTGTGTTAGGAGATCGAGAATGAGTACAAGGCAGCAAAGGAAGTCTACAATGATCCTGGTGAGAATTTGACGCCCTGCTCCTGCTCCTGCTCCTGCTCCTGCTCCTGCTCCTGCTCCTGCTCCTGCTCCTGCTCGTCATGTGTGAGCTCTTACAACCCCATCTCCCTCCTTAGCTATCTCTGCTCGTACTTCGCGCGTTGAACTTTCATGTCAGGCGCAGACAGTCGTCGTAAGATGAAGCTTGACGAGATCTACAAAGCGTGAGGGCTGGACATTCTCTCGCCGCCTTTCCTCTCATGTGAAGATGCAGCCATGGAAACTGCCGGCCATGGAAGCTCTTTGTGAACGCCTTTGCTCAGGTACAGCGCAATGAAGTGAAGAAGGAGCTAAGATGTTGGCAGGCGCCTGTGTTCATCTCCATCTTCTTCGGGATCAAGGTGTGAAGATTTTATGACTGCAAAAGACAAGAGATGATTTCTTCCAAGGACCTCGGGAACTTTCAGCCGAGCTTCAGCACTGAAACTTTCCTCTGGTGAATTGCTCTTGATCTGGTTGTTGACCCCTTAGTATGCTATTTAGGGTTTCCGACCTCTCCACCATGGACCCTTATCATATTCTTCCTGGTCTGCTTGTTTTCCTCTTGTGATTCTTCTTGACTTTGATCAACTTTAACAGTGGCAGCCATGGCCTCGCTGCTAGCGGTAAGCGTCTGGAGGAACCAGGAGGGAGAAGACGAGGAGATTGGAAGAGATGGAGCGGGGGAAGGAGAGGACAGGGAAAGAAGGAGCTGAGGCTAGCATCAGCCGGGCAGGGAGCATCAGGAAGGGGAAGGGGAAGTGGAAGAATGGAGATAAGGGGGATCAGGAGAAGAAAGTAGCGACAAGCTCACAATCGTTTTTTCGCAGGTCTTAGAGACCAACTTGAAGGCAAGAAAAGCAACGGTGAATCCGATGCAGGTGAGAGCGGAGGGGTCTGGAGGAAGCAGAGTCTGAGAGCGGAGGGGTCCTGAGGGAGCAGAGTCTGACTTGTCTGCTCTCAGTTCAAGATGCAGCTCGGTGTTCAAAGGATCTTATGCTTCTCTATGGTGTCGTGAATCCACAGCTGCAAGGGGCCAAGGATTTTGACAATGCTGCAGGTCCCCATGCTCATCGGCTTGAAGTATCCTGCAGGTGACAGCCATTTCTTGTGGAGATATCGCCCTCTCCCTCTCCCTCACTCTCTCTCTCTCTCTC